AGCCTATGCCAGTGTGGAATCCATTGTGCCTACTTCAAAGATTAAGGAAATGTGTGCAGAGTGGTTTGAACTGCAAACCTTTATAGATGAAAAATCACCCTGACACAGCTGTTGCAAGCCGTGCTGGTGACTATTTCATGACAATGTTATGGCCCATTTTAGGAAAGTCTTGAAGAAACGGGAGGTACAGAGCTCTATGGACAGATTTGTTGTGCGACAGAGGTCCAGTGAATCTGAAAGCTGGTCTAGTGGCATAAAAGAAGAAGGGAAGTAACCCAGAAAAGGACTTGCTACCTCAAGTCCTAATGGAAGGGGATTCCCCTTCTAAACAGTAAGAAGATATGCTCTCCCCTCCTCCCATCCCATCAATCATCACCAGATCTTCATAAAAGTAAGTGTCATGTAATTGTGCATGCCTTTTTCAGTTGTGTGTATTAAAATTAACATTCATGTGGTAAAAAAAATTTTTTTTCATACTTTTGGGCGTCTTGCACGGATTAATTTTATTTCCATTATTTCTTATGGGGAAAATTAATTCGCATAACGATTATTTCGCATAACGATGAGCCCTCTTGCACGGATTAAAATCGTTAACCGGGGGTCCACTGTATATATGGATTAGGTGGTAAGTTACTAACTGCTGTAAAGAGTCTTTACGAGGATAGTGAGGCTCAGGTTAGGGTGTGTAAAAGAGAGGGAGACTACTTCCTGGTAAAAGTAGGTCTTAGGGATGTGTAATGTCACCATGGTTGTTTAATATATTTATACATGGGGTTGTAAAAGAAGTAAATGCTAGGGTATTCGGGAGAGGGGTGAGATTAAATTATGGGGAATCAAATACAAAATGGGAATTGACACAGTTACTTTTTGCTGATGATACTGTGCTGACGGGAGATTCTAAAGAAAAATTGCAAAGGTTGGTGGACGAGTTTGGGAGAGTGTGTATAAGTAGAAAGTTGACAGTGAACATAGAAAAAAGTAAGGTGATGAGGGTATCAAATGATTTAGATAAAGAAAAATTTGATATCAAATTGGGGAGGAGTATGGAAGAAGTGAATGTTTTCAGAAATTTGGGAGTTGACGTGTCAGCGTATGGATTTGTGAAGGATGAGGTTAATCGTAGAATTGATGAAGGGAAAAATGTCGAGTGGTGCTTTGAGGTATGTGGAGACAAAAAAACGTTATCTCTGGAGGCAAAGAAGGGAATGTATGGAGGGGTTTGGGATATTGGCATTTTGGAGGGATATGTTGTGTATCTTTATATATACAGTGGACCCCCGCATAACGATTACCTCCGAATGTGACCAATTATGTAAGTGTATTTATGTAAGTGCGTTTGTATGTGTATGTTTGGGGGTCTGAAATGGACTAATCTACTTCACAATATTTCTTATGGGAACAAATTCGGTCAGTACTGGCACCTGAACATACTTCTGGAGTGAAAAAATATCGTTAACCGGGGGTCCACTGTATATGCTTCTAAACTGTTGTATTCTGAGCACCTCTGCAAAAACAGTGATTATGTGTGAGTGAGGTGAAAGTGTTGAATGATGAAAGTATTTTCTCTTGGGGAATTTTCTTTTTTTTTTTGGGTCACCCTGCCTCGGTGGAAGATGGCTGACTTGTTAAAAAAAAAAAAAGTGAAGGGGGACAAAAACAGCTTGTAAAAATTATAAGGGAGCAATGTGACAGATGTCGCAAGTATGTGGAATAGGTAGTAAGTTACTAAATGCTGTAAAAAGTTTTTATGAGGATAGTGAGGCTCAGGTTAGGGTGTGTAGAAGAGAGGGAGATTACTTCCTGGTAAAAGTAGGTCTTACATAGGGATGTGTAATGTCAGCATGGTTGTTAAATATATTTATAGATGGGGCTGTAAAAGAAGTAAATGCTAGGGTATTCGGGAGAGGGGTGGGATTAAATTATGGGGAATCAAATACAAAATGGGAGTCGACACAGTTACTTTTTACTGATGATAACTGTGGTTATGGGTGATTCTGAAGAAAAGTTGCAAAGGTTAGTGGACGAATTTGGGAGGGTGTGTAAACATAGATAAGAGTAAGGTGATGAGGGTATCAAATGATTTACATAAAGAAAAATTGGACATCACATTCGAGAGAAGGAGTATGGAAAAAGTGAATGTTTTCAGATGTTTGGGAGTTGATGTGTCAGCAGATGGGTTTATGAAAGATGAGGTTAACTATAGAATTGACGAGGAAAAAAAGTGAGTGGTGTGTTGAGGTATATGTGGAGACAAAAAACATTGTCAATGGAAGCAAAGAAGGGAATGTATGAAAGGAGAGTGGTACCAACACTCTTATATGGGTGTGAAGCTTAGGTTGTAAATGCTGCAGCGAGGAGGCGGTTGGAGGCATTGGAGATGTCCTGTCTAAGGGCAATGTGTGGTGTATATATTATGCAGAGAATTCAAAGTGTGGAAATTAGGAGAAAGTGTGGAGTTCATGAAAGTATTAGAGGGCTGAAGAGGGGTTGTTTAGGTGGTTTGGCCATTTAGAGAGAATGGATCAAAGTAGGACATGGAGAGCGTAAAAATCTGTAGAAGAAGGAAGGAAATCGGGGTAGGGGTCGTCCTCAAAAAGGTTGGAGGAAGGGGGTAAAGGAGATTTTGTGGGCGAGGGGCTTGGACTTCCAGGAAGCGTGCATGAGCGTGTTAGATAGGAATGAATGGAGACATATGGTTTTTGGGGCCTGACGAGCTGTTGGAGTGTGAGCAGGGTAATATTTAGTGAAGGGATTCAGTGAAACCGGTTATTTTTATATAGCCAGACTTGAGTTCTGGAAATGGGAAGTACAATGCCTGCACTTTAAATGAGGGGTTTGGGATATTGGCAGTTTGGAGGGATATGCAATAGGACGGTATATATATAATTTGGGCCCTGATATTATATTCTATAGGAGTTTATTATATTATTTCAGGTCACTTTTTATATTGTATCTTTATACTTGCTTCTAAACTGTTGTATCTGGGCACCTCCACAAAGACAATGATTGTGTGAGAGTGAGGTGAAAGTGTTGAATGATGAAAGTATTTTCGTTTTGGGGATTTTCTTTCTTTTTGGGTCACCCTTCCTAGGTGGGAGACAGTCGACTTGTCGAAAAAAAAAAGTTTACTGAGTATACCAGGTAAAGTGTAATTTTTGAAAGAATTAGAAGTAAGACAGAGAGCAGGACTGCAGATGAACAAGGAGGCTTTAGAATGAGTAGGGAATGTGGAGACCGAGTGTTTACATTGAAGCATATAATTGAACATATTTAGATAAAGATGGGGAAGTTTTCATTGCATTTATGGTTTTAGAAAAGGCATATGATAGGGTGGATAGGGGAGCAATGTGGCAGATGTTACAAGTGTATGGAATAGGTAGTAAGTTACTAAATGCTGTAAAAAGTTTTTGTGAGGATAGTGAAAGGGAGATTACTTTCCAGTAAAAGTAGGCTTTAGACAAGGGAGTTCACACAGCTAATTTTTGCTAATGACACTGTGCTTTTGGGAGATTCTAAAGAGAAATTGCAAAGGTTTGTGGATGAGCTTGGGAGGGTGTGTAAAGGAAGAAAGTTGATAGTGAACATAGATAAGAGTAAGGTGATGAGGTTATCAAACAAGTTAGGTAAAGAAAAATTGGATATCACATTGGAGGGAGTATGGACGAAGTGAATATGTTCAGATATTTGGTAGTAGACTGATCAGAGGATGGGTTTATGAAGGATGAGGTTAACCATAGAGTTGATGAAGGAAAAAAGGTGAGTGGTGCATTGAGGTATTGGAGACATAAAACGTTAATCATGGAGACAAAGAAGGGAATGTATGAGAGTATAGTGGTACCAACACACTTCTATGGGTGTGAAGTAGGGGTTGTCAATACTTCAGTAAGTAGGAGGCTGGAAGCAGTGGAGATGTTGTGTCTAAAGGTAATGTGTGCTGTAAATATTATGCAGAGAATTCATAGTGTGGATATTGGGAGGTATGGAGTTACTAAAAGTATTATCCAGAGGGTTGAAGAGGGGCTGTTGAGGTGGTTTGATCATTTAGAGAGGATGGAAAAAAATAGATTGATTGACTTGGAGAGTGTATTGATCTATAGTGGAAGGGAGGGGTAGGGGTCATCCTAGGAAAGGATGGAGGGAAGGGGGTAAAAGAAGTTTTATGTGCAAGGAGCTTGGATATGCAGCAGACATGTGTGAGCATGTTAGATAGGAGTGAATGGAGACAAATAGTTTTTGGGACCTGACGAGCTGTTGGAGTGTGAGCAGGTTGAGGAGGGGTTGTTGAGGTGGTTCGGACATTTACGGAGGATGGAATGAAATAGAAATACCTGGAGAGTGCATAAATCTGTAGTGGAAGGAAGGTGGGGTAGGGGTCAGCCTAGGAAAGGTTAAAGGGAGGGAGTAAAGGAGGTTTTGTGTGCAAGTACCTTGGTCTTCCAGCAAACATGCATGAGCATGATAGATAGAAACAAGTAGAGACAAGTGGTTCTTAGGATTTGACGTGCTGTTGGAGTGTGAGGAAGGTAATGTTTATGAAGGGATTCAGGAAAACCAGCAGGCTGGACTTGAGTCCTGGAGGTGGGAAGTACATTGCCCACACTCTGAAGGAAGGGTGTTGTTAAGTTACAGTTTTATAACTGTAGTGTGGGCATGCCTCTAGCCAGACAGTGATGAAGTGAATGATGATGAAAGTGTTTCTTCCTTTCCAGGTCACACACATCCTACCAAGGCAGGGTGACCTAAAAAGAAAAACGAAAGTTTCTCTTTTTAAATTTAGTAATGTATACAGGAGAAAGGGTTACTAGCTCCTTGCTCCTGGCATTTTAGTCACCTCTTATGACATTCATGGCTTATGGAGGAAGAATTCTTTTCCACTTCCCCATGGAGAATCAGTTAAATACATGTTATAAATTTTTTATATCCTGCTTCATAAATAGTTTAGCTTGTTTACATTATTTTGTTTTTCTTAAAAAAATTATATATTTTTGTATTCTGTCCAGGTATACAAATGAGTCCTCAGTGTCCTGGATGTTTGGTTAGTGCATCATCTGATGGGAGTATCAAAATATGGGATATTGCCAGTGGAAAACCAAGTTTCATTGAAGAGAGCAACCCCAGTCTTGGTACAATCCAGTGCCTTGCATCATGCCCTGATGCTCCTTTTGTGTTTTGCTTTGGAGGAGACAATAAACAAAATAATTTCAAGGTCTGGGATCTTCGAGAATCAAGTAATGGTAAGTTAATGTTTTAATTATTTGCATATTTTTTGTACCTAACCCCCCAAAATTAATTTTTTTTTGACTCCCATGTTTGCAGTTTTTAGTAAGAAATTTTTTTAATTTTTTTAACCCTTTTGGTGTCGATTCCATTATATAACAGCTTTGAAGCCATTGTTGATCCCATAGTACAACACCATGAGCTCAGCTCACTCAGATAAGCTGTGAGCAGTAAATTTGGGCCTAGATACGAGAGAATGGGTCTATGTGGTAAATGTGCTCCATATAAAAAAAAAAATCCTGCAGCACGCAGTGCACATTGAAAAAAAGAAAGGCTGCGGCCCTCTTTTTGTTTTAAAACAGTGAGTTTGCAGTGTATTTTTGTATGGTTTTCTTGATTGTATTCTCAGTTTCTTGTCTTCATTTGATAGATTGGAAGGTATATTACAGAAATAGAGATGATTTTGATTAGTTTCAGGACTAAAAGTAACTTGAAATTGAGCTGAAAGTAGGAGAAATGTTCTATTTTTGCCAGTTTTCCAGAGTAGCAGAAATGTTCGATTTTTGACAATATTCCAGAGTAGCAGAAATGTTCGATTTTTGACAATATTCCAGAGTAGCAGAAATGTTCGATTTTTGCCAATATTCCAGAGTCTAATACGTGTCCAGATTGCCGATCTAATATGCATTTAGGAATGCATTGACATTGTTTATACAATTATTATAATAATGCAGTAGTCTGCATAACAGTAAATCTTGTGTGAATAAAAATTCAAAATGGAAAACAAGTTTAATATAAGAGGGACCTGGAGACATGACTAAGGCACAGGGGAAATTTTTTTTTTGTTCCAGGAATGTCTATATTGTTTATTCTGAACCCTATTTTTAAATTGTCAATTTTTGAATTTTGTGTGAAATTGACCAAATTACCAATTTCTGATCACTTTATTGGGTAGGTGAAATAGGTAAATGGGCAGTTTCTTGTACTCAAGCAATAGAATAGATGGAATACTAGCGAAATAGCTATGAGGGTGCAAAGTGGGCAAAATCACCGATACGTAAATATTGCCAAGTCCACTATCTTTGCAAGAACACAATTCCATAAGTATTCCATAAAATTTTGTACTTTTAGTTTCATTACCTTCAGAAAAAATTATCATTTCAAAATTTTCTTTTTTTTAAATTCTTGTACCCTGAGAGCAAGTTTGAGATCAGGGGTCTCGACCCTAAAAGGGTTAATACCTTATCTCAAAATTGGTTTTTACAAATATTCTAGCTGTCTAGAAATATTGTGGAAGTTTTAACTACTGTAATTATATTTAATATATTTAATATATTGGCAGTTTGGAGGGATATGTTGTGTATCTTTATACATATATGCTTCTAAGCTGTTGTATTCTGAGCGCCTCTGCAAAAGCAGTGATAATGTGTGAGTGTGGTGAAAGTGTTGAATGATGATGAAAGTATTTTCTTTTTGGGGATTTTCTTTCTTTTTTGGGTCACCCTGCCTCGGTGGGAGACGGCCGACTTGTTGGAAAAAAATTTACTATATTTTGTAGAGAACAAGGATCAAACTTGACTATTCTTATTATTTTTTCCCACAGCACGTTCGAGATTCTGCCCTCGTATTAGATTGCCTGTGGATGATGAAGAAATGGACCTTGCTACACCAGACACAGCCCTCCAGAATTTGCAAAGTACTGATGAAGGTTTGGCAGCAGCTACTGGACCTTCTTGCACCGTAGCTCCCAACCAGAGCAGTGGAAAAAAAACTAAGTCTAAATTTAAAAAGAAAAAAGGTGGTCATTTAGAAAGACGGAGAAAAACATAATCTCAAATGAGAAAAATATGATGTTAAATAATTGCCTCATAACTACACAGTGAAACTGATACAAAAAATGGTATTGTAAAGTAACTACATAATGTTTGTTTTTTTATTAAAGTGACAGTAAACTGAGTTGTACTTTGTTCTGTTGGAGTTTAATTTAATAAAAATTTTAGGAAATGTAACATTACTAAATAGTATTAAAAATTATTTGGATTTGTGAATTTGATAATAAATTATATTATCAGTATTTGTTCTATTTTTGTTAATTCATTATAATGTAATTTTCTGCTTAATAGTACAGACCTGCTTTATCATGAAAGTGTGTTGTCAGGTATTATACTTTTTCAATATTCATGAAAATCTTAATAGTATGAGACAGGTAGACATACAGTTGAGTACAGATAGGAAGCGTCTCTGTCTTGTGCTCAGCAGACAGAGGATCGAGCCTCCAATACCTCTTGTGCTGAATAACTCAAATGGGTTTAGCGCTTAACATGAATTAAAGCAATAAGACAGGTAAAAAGGATATGCAAGAGCAAAAGATCTGACAAATGATTACTGGAGTTAAGAGATATCGAAATGGGTATTGAAGATGCATAAAGCTAAACCCACAGACATCAACAGAAGAGCTCTGATTCGGTTTCACATTGCTTAGTTGTGACAACATGGAACTGGTATACCTAAGAATAGTAATTTTCATTATTATTACAGTAATCAGTGATACCTTGATTTATGACTACTTGGGGGAGAGGGTGTTTGGTAGCACTGGTTGTCCATTAACCCTTAAACTGTCCAAACGTAGATCTACGTTTTTTCAACATTTGAAAGTATGTAAAAAAACGTAAGCTTTTTTTTTTTTTTGAAAACTTGTAAAAAAAAGTTTGATCTACTGTTTTTTCTTATATTTGAAAATGTAAAAAAAACGTAGATCTACTTTTGGAGCACTATGCATATGAACATAGATCTGTTTGGACAGTGTGTAAGTGTAAGTGTGCTTTTCAAACAGTAACAGTAACGGACAATTCTGGAAATAACATACTATGTTCGTTAAACCTGAAATTAAAATTATTTTTTTTATTAACACACTGGCCGATTCCCACCAAGGCAGGGTGGCCCGAAAAAGAAAAACTTTCACCATCATTCACTCCATCACTGTCTTGCCAGTTTTTAAACTGCAACATTAACGCCTCTCCTTCAGAGTGCAGGCACTGTACTTCCCATCTCCAGGACTCAAGTCGGCCTGCCGGTTTTTGAATCCCTTCAAAAATGTTACTTTGCTCACCTCCAACAGACGTCAAGTATTAAAAATCATTTGTCTCCTTCATCTATCAAACATGCTCACACTGCCCGTGGAAGCCCCAACCCCCTGCCACAAAAACCCCCTAGACTTCGTCCCTAAACCCAGGGACGGAAAGGGTGCTGCAGGGACAGGGCCGGGAAAAGGAGGACAGTGTATATTACTATTTGTGTTTGGGTTTGTTTTCTTTAATTTCCAATAAAAAGGGGGGGAGAGCGCCACTCAAGGAAAAAACAAAAATTATGACTTTCATGGGGGGAATTCTAAAAAAAACCTTTTGGGGTTTTTTACAGTGCCTGGGGGAGGGGAAAGATATTCAGGTTTGATAAAGAAATTTGGAGCGCACAGGCCCAATTCTTGATCGAGCCCCTCTAAAGCCCCTAGGCCCCCTTAAGGGGGGATAACATAAAGAATGATACTCATCAGGCTGGCAATGCTAATTTCATGGAAGTCACCCCTACCTATCTGATTTTAAAAAACCCCCAGCACCCCAGGATGGTACCCCCCAGGATAAAACAAACCCAAAGGGCCCAGCCATAATGGTGGATGTTAGAAACTCGGGTATCTCTTCTCTCTCTCTTTTTTTCTCTTTTCTCTCTTTTCTCTCTTTTCCTCTCTTTTCTCTTCTTGGCCTGCATCTTATGATTGTACTAGGTCATCTCTCTCCCTGCTCCTGGCATTATCAAAAAAAGTTGGATCTCCCTGTTTCTTGCTTATATATTAGAATATGGTGATTGATGAAAATACGTTGAACTACCTTTGGGAGCACTTGCATTCAACTTAATTTGTGGACCCTTGTTTAAGTGTAAATCGTGCTTTCAAACAGTATTGTAACGGTTACATTCTCCTAAATCAACATACCCTATGTCTTTAACCGAATTAAACATTAATTTTTTTTAAACGTAGGACGATTCCACTAGCAGGGTGGCCCGAATAAAGAAAAACTTTCACATCATTCACTCCTTTCTACTGCTTGCCAGTGTTGTCAAACGGTGCACATTACGCCTTCCTTCGAGTGCAGGCACTGTACTTCTCACATCTCTAGGATGAAGTCGCTCTCGGTTTCCATGATCCCTTCATAAGATGTTACTGTTGCTCTCACTTCAACAGCACGTCAAGTATTAACAATCATTTGTCTCCATTCATCTTTCAAACTGCTCACCTAGCCCGCTGAAGTCCACAGCCCCTCGCACACAAAACCTCTCAGACTTTGTCCACTAATAGCAGGGATCGGTAAGGCGTTGCTGCAGGGATCAGCAGGCCAGTAGAGGCACGTGTGAATTACTATTTGTGATTGGTTGTTTTCTTTAATTATCCAATAAAAGGAAGGGGAGCAGCCATCATGGATAAACATAAATATGACATTCTTGGAGTGAATTCTAAATAAACCTAATAGCAGGTTGATACTGCCTGGTGGGGAAGATCATCCAGGTTTGATATAAGTAATTGACGCACAGGTCCAATTCCATTAGATCAAGTGCCCCTCTCAAGCATCCTGAGACCCTTAAAGTGGGGATCTAACATAAGAATGATACTCATTCAGGCTGGGCAATGCTGCATTCCAAATGGAAACACCCCTCCCACTATCTGACATATTAAAAACCCAGCCACCAGGATGGTACTCCAGGATCATAAGTCCAATGGCCAGCCGGTAATGGTGTGGATGATTAGAAACTCGGGATATTCTGCTTCCTCCCTTTTTTTCGCATTTCTACTTTTTTCTCCTCTTTTCTTCTGTTTCTCTCTCTTCTCTGGCCCTGCATCTTCACTGATTGCTACTAGGTCATCTCTCTCCCTGCTCCATGAGCATTATCATACCTCATCGTAAAGCTATGGATGGTTCCTGCCTCCACTGCCTCACTTGCTAGGCTATTCCACTTCCTGACTACTCTGTGATTGATGAAATACTTCTTAACATCCCTTTGACTCATCTGGGTCTTCAACTTCCAATTGTGACCCCTTGTTTCTGTGTCCCCTCTCTGGAACATCCTGTCTATTCCACACAGTATTTTGTATGTTGTTATCATGTCTCCCCTAACCCCCCTATCCTCCAGTGTCATCAAGCCGATTACCCTTAACCTTTCTTCGTAGGACATTCCACTTAGCTCTGGAACTACCCATGTCACAAACCTTTGCACTTTCTCTAATTTCTTGACGTGCTTGATCAAGTGTGGGTCCAAACAGGTGCTGCATACTCCGATATGGGCCGGACGTACACGGTGTACAGTGTCTCAAACGATTCGTTACTAAGGTATTGGAACGCTATTCTCAGGTTTGCCAGGCACCCATATGCTGCAGCAGTTATCTGGTTGATGTATGCTTCTGGAGATATGCTCAGTGTTATACTCATCCCAAGATCTGTCTACTTGAGCGAGGTTTGCAAGCCTTTGGCCACCTAGCCTATACTCCATCTGAGGTCTTCTTTGCCCTTCCCTGATCTTCATGACTTTGCATTTGGCGAGGTTGAATTTGAGAAGCCAGTTGCTGGACCACGTGTCCAGCCTGTCCAGGTCTCTTTGAAGTCCTACCTGATCCTCATCTGATTTAATTCTCCTCATTAACTTCACTTCATCTGTGAACAGGGACACTTCTGAGTCTAACCCTTCCATCTTGTCATTCACATATACCAGAAATAGCACTGGTCCTAGGACTGACCCCTGTGGGACCTCGCTCATCACAGGTGCCCACTGTGATACCTCATCACGTACCATGACTCGTTGCCTCCCTGTCAGGTATTCTCTGATCCATTGCAGCACCCTTCCTGTTATACATGCGTGATCCTCTTGCTTCTGCACCAATCTCCTGTCAGGAACTGTGTTGAAGGCCTTCTTGCAGTCCAAGAAGATGCGATCAACCCACCCCTCTCTCTCGTATCTTACTTCTGTTACCTTGTCATAAAGCTCCAGAAGGTTTGTGACACAGGATTTGCCTTCCATGAATCCATGCTGTGTGTGTGTGTGTGTGTGTGTGTGTGTGTGTGTGTGTGTGTGTGTGTGTGTGGTGTGTGTGTGTGTGTGTGTGTGTGCACTCGCCTATTTGTGTTCGCAATGTCGAGTCATACCTGTGTATGTGTGTGTGCGCGTACTCGCCTAATTGTGGTTGCAGGGATCAAGACTCAGCTCCTGGCCCTGCCTCTTCACTGATCGCTACTAGGTCATCTCTCTCCTTGCTCCATGAGCATTATCATACCTCATCTTAAAGCTATGGATGGTTTCTGCCTCCACTACCTCACTTGCTAGGCTATTCCACTTCCTGACTATTCTGTGATTGAAGAAATACTTCCTAACATCCCTTTGACTTATCTGGGTCTTCAACTTCCAATTGTGACCCCTTGTTTCTGTGTCCCCTCTCTGGAACATCCTGTCTCTGTCCACCTTGTCTATTCCACACAGTATTTTGTATGTTATCATATCTCCCCTAACTCTCCTGTCCTCCAGTGTCGTCAGGCCGATTACCCTTAACCTTTCTTCATAGGACATTCCCCTTAGCTCTGGAACTAACCTTGTCACAAACCTTTGCACTTTCTCTAATTTCTTGACGTGCTTGATGAAGTGTGGGTTCCAAACAGGTGCTGCATACTCCAGTATGGGCCGGACGTACACGGTGTACAGTGTCTCAAACGACTCCTTACTAAGGTATCGGAACGCTATTCTCAGGTTTGCCAGGTGCCCATATGCTGCAGCAGTTATCTGGTTGATGTATGCTTCTGGAGATATGCTCAGTGTTAAACTCACCCCAAGATCTGTCTACTTGAGCGAGGCTTGCAAGCCTTTGGGCACCTAGCCTATACTCCGTCTGCGGTTTTCTTTGCCCTTCCCAGATCTTCGTGACTTTGCATTTGGCGAGGTTGAATTTGAGAAGCCAGTTGCTGGACCACGTGTCCAGCCTGTCCAGGTCTCTTTGAAGTCCTACCTGATCCTCATCTGATTTAATTCTCCTCATTAACTTCA